CATCTGAGCCACCCGGGCGCCCTGAATTTAAATAAAATTTAAGAAATTGGCATCGCTGTTTCTGAGAGGAAACAAAGTATCTTGGGATATTTCTTGCACTTTTTTTCTTTCTTTTAAAGTTTTATTTACCTAAGTAATCTTGGGGCACCTGGGTGGCTCAGTCGGTTAAGCGTCTGCCTTCAGCTCAGGTCATGATCCCAGGGTCCTGGGATCGAGCCCCACCTCGGGCTCCCTGCTCAGTGGGGAGCCTGCTTCTCCCTCCGCCGCTCCCCCTGCTTGTGCTCTCTCTCCCTCTCTCTCTCTGTCAAATAAATAAATAAAATCTTTATCTAAGTAATCTCTACCCCTAACGTGGGGCTCAAACTCATGACCCCGAGATGAAGAGGGGCATGCTCTTCTGACTGAGCCAGCTAGGCCCTGCACTTCTTTCTTTACAAGTAACATAAAAAACAGATAAAGTGATGACCCTGGCAGAATATAGGAAGATTTCCCCCATGGGCACTTCTGCTGTTCTCGTCTGCATGGTTGGCTGATGTTTACTGTGTTTCTATGTGGCCTTTACTGGATGGTGGCTCAGGGCCGTAAGGGACTGGGCCAGAATCAGAGCCCCCACACCTTCCTCTTTACATCCCTCACTTACCTTGTTGCTGTCCGGGATGCATGGGCACAAATGAAGGCTCTGTGAACGCACCGAAGATGAGTAACAAGTGTTTGGTCTTCCTTTTGTGTGTAATGGTATGGCCTGTGCTTGCGACTACGCGGCTGGTATGTGTCCCAGCTAAAACCAAGTCAGGCAGGGGGTGCCTGGGAGGCTCAGTCGGTGCAGTGTGCAACTCTGGATCTTGGGGTCCTGAGTTTGAGCCCCATGGTGGGTGTAGAGATTACTAAAATTAAATAAACTTTATTTAAAAAAAAAGATGGTTCTCCCCAATTTACATGAAAAAAATTAACTTAGAAGTTGTCCATTTTAGGGCGCCTGGGTGGCTCAGTTGGTTAAGCGACTGCCTTCGGCTCAGGTCATGATCCTGGAGTCCCGGGATCGAGTCCCGCATCGGGCTCCCTGCTCGGCGGGGAGTCTGCTTCTCCCTCTGACCCTCCCCCCTCTCATGTGCTCTCTCTCTCTCATTCTTTCTCTCAAATAAATAAATAAGATCTTTAAAAAAAAAAAGCAGTTGTCCATTTTAAACTTTTCGCCTTCGTAAATTTTTCTTAAAACTGGTGCCCACTACCATTCATCTAGGATAGACTCTGGAATGACATATTGTCTAATCATAATAATGGCTAACACGTGGGTGCCTGGCTGGCTCAGTTGGGGTGTGCAGCTCTCAATCCGGGTCTTGAGTTTGAGCCCCACACTGGTGGTAGAGGTTAGCCAAACAAACAAACAAACAGCAGCTGACACTTTTGTGGTCCTTCTGATGAGCTGTGCCAAGCATTTTATATATATTGACACACTTGATCCTCACAACAACCCTCTGAGGTAGGTCCCATTATTTTCCCCATTTTACAGATGAGGAAGCTGAGGCACAGAGAGGCCACATAACACACCTGCAGTTCACAAAGTTCACACAGCTGGGAAGTGTGGAGTGCGGGTCACGAACTCAGGCAGGATGGCCCCAGAGTCCCCTCATTGACCCCACCCCAGCCCACCGCCATCATCTAGCCCTAAGTGATATTTTTAAATTGCTATGTGCTTATCAGGTCAACATTGGCAGAGTTCTGCAAACCACACCCACGGTTCCAGGGCTCTGGCCCCTGGGGTAGTAGGAACATCTGGGAGTCAGAAACACCTGGGTTGGAATCGGACTCCACCACCTGCCCACTGAGTGAACCTAGGCGGCTTGCTAACTAACCTCTCTGAGAGCCAGTTTCATGCAGCAATCCAGGGATTTCCCGCAGTGACGGCCTCCCCACGAGAACATGCCCCTCGCGAAGGACCTCCTGCACCCCTCCGGGGCCCGGGAAGAGGAGAAGAGGGGAAAAGCAGCAGCGCCTGGCCTAGCGCTAACCGGTCCTTCATGGACATGAAGTGCCCGGATGCTCCAATCACCGCCGTCTTTAGCCACGAACCATACTTTTGTGAGCTCGCGGCTCCACTGTCCTCTGCCAACCCACAGGAGGAAAAGCAAGGCTTTCGGAGGGATGCTCCTTCAGACCCAAGCAGCACTAAAAGCATCCCGAATCAAGATGAATGGGAAACTATCCAATAAACAGATTTTGGATGAGAAGGGTTGAGAAGAGAAAAGGAGGGGAGGGGAGGGGAGGGGAAGGAGGGGAGAGGAGAGGAGAGGAGACAAAAGAAAAAAGAAAAGAGAAAAGGAAAGGAAAGGAAAGAAAAGATTGGGACGCCTGGGTGGCTGGGTTAAGGGTCTGCCTTCGGGGGCACGTGGGTGGCTCAGTCGGTTAAGCGTCTGCCTTCGGCTCAGGTCATGATCCCGGGGTCCTGGGATCGAGTCCTGCATCGGGCTCCCTGCTCAGTGGGGAGTCTGCTTCTCTCTCTCTGTGTCTCTTATGAATAAATAAATAAAATCTTAAAAAAAAAAAAAGCGTCTGCCTTCAGTTCAGGGCATGATCCCAGGACCCTGGGACCCAGTCCCGCGTCAGGCTCCCCGCTTGGCAGGGAGTCCGCTTCTCCCTCTCCCTCTGCTTGCCACTCACACGCTCGGTCTCTCTCACTGTCAAATAAATAAATAATTTTTTTTTTTTTTTAAAAAGGAAAGGAAAGAAATCACAGGGCCGCAACGAGGAGGGAAAGAGGTGACTAGCAATGCCTGCCCAGATGTCTCTGAACCCCGGGGCGCGACCCTGCTATCTTGTTCTTCCAGTTATTTATTTATTTGTTGATCCATTTGGCTAACACCAGATGGAGACAGAGGCTGGTGAGCACAGCAGCTTCCAGCTAAAGTTCTTCTCTTATCCCCTTCTCTCCCTAGAGAAGAGAAATGACCTCCAAAGAGGGCCCAACAGGATTACCCGTCACGCAGGTGGTAAAACGATCTACAGAATTTCAGAGCAGAGTGCTTCATTAGAGTAACAAGAGAGAGGGCTAAGCCACAGGACGGGGCCAGACTGAGCAGGCCCTGGAGGACAGGAACGACTTAGGGTTTTGTTCAACAGGCAACGGGAAAATCCCTAAAACTTTGGGTCAGAAGTCGCTTGGAAGTTTAAATATTTAAACTGTGCCTGGTGTTCTTGAAAGATGCAAGGTGGGAGGCTGTCGCCACAGCCCGGGCAAGGAGTAGTGGGCCAGGGGAAGGGTGGTGAGGGGGTCGCTCCCAAGGCTGTAAGAGAGCACAGTACCTACGCGCATGCGCACACACACCCACTCACCCCCCCCCCCATACTGGCCCACTCCCGCCCTGCCCTGCTCACACTTCGGCCAAGTCTGACCTCTCCGTCTTTGCCCACCAGCCTGACATCTGCTTCTGCCCCACCTCTGTCCTCTCCCCGCCTTGCCCCCACAACCCCAGCTTTTGCTTCACCCCCTTTGACTTGTCTATTCCCCTCTGGCTTAATTCCCGTGGGGGCGGGGATCCAGCGCCAGCCCACTTACACACACAGCACCCGAGTGCAGGCAGCAGCGTGAAGGCGGCGAAGCAAAGGAAACCCCCCGCAAGGCTGCTCCCCTAGAGGGAGGTGGGAACAGAAAAGGCAGAGGTTTAGGTGACGCTCGGGTGAAGGGACGTCCGAAGGACATGGCCACTGTCTGGATACTGGGGTGCAAGGGAGAATGAGTCATCAAAGATGACCCTGAGGTTTCCAGGCCGAGTGGGAGGATGGTGAGGCAGGAACAGAAATGGAGTGGATCGGGGGGGAGGTCTTTGAGTCTGACATGCCAGGGAGATGTCCGGGTGGAGATGAACATGCAAGCCTTCCAGAAATGGAAGGGGGGCCTGGGGAGCGCTCAGAGCTGGAGAGCCAGGTGTGGGGAGTCCGCACCAGCACCAGCATAACCACACCGAGGGCTTTCTGTGTAGCAGGCACTTTATTCCTACTGTGTCACTTAGCCCTCCCCACGACCCAAGGGGGAGGCAACGTTTTCACTTCATCCCTGAGGAAACCGAGGCACAGTGAGGACAAGCGTCTTGTCCAAGGTCACACAGCAAGCAGGTGGCAGGGATGGGACTTGAGCCCAGGCTCTGACTCTGAGGTCATTTCTAAGCCAAAAGCTGGTTAGGCTCCTCCCCGCCCTCAAAAGCTGGTTCCACAGCCCAGCCAGAGGTGCTAGGTGTGTGGGGCCCGTAGAAGCCCCAAAGCAGGAGAGGCAGGTCAGAGCTGGGGAAGAAGCAGCCCAGGGAGGGGAAAGGGAAAATTCAGAGAGCTCAAGAAGGAGCTTCCTGTCCTCCAGGCACTGGCCAGATAGCTTCCATGAGTCTGTCATTTGCCCTCCCCACAGCCCTGTGAGCTGGGAACTAGAACTATCATTTTACACATGCACGGAGATGAGGCTCTGAGAAGTCAGGTGACTTGCCTGAGGTCACACAGCCTATTCCTAGTGGAGCCCAGATTCAAACAGGAGCCTTTGACTCCAGAGCCTGACCCCTATCATCACACACAGGACCTCCTTAGCGACATCACCCCCACCCCAGGCAGAGTTACTGGGCTCGAGCCCCTTCCCCCACCGGGCTGCAGAAGGGACAGGACTTTGCCTCCCCTCCTCCCCGCCTGCTAGCAAGGGGCGAAGTCCAGAGCTGCTCCCCAGACATGGCCTCCTCCGGACCACCCGGACCTTACCTTTCCTGGGGCTCAAGCCCCTTTCTCCCCAGAACTCGTTGGGGACTATAGAAAGAGAAAGAAGAGGCTTTCCGGAGACAGAAGTGGTGCTTGGGGTTCAGAGAGGTTGGAGGGCGATAGTAGATGGGAGGGACGAGAATGGGTCTTCTGTAGTGGGGGACGGGGTGGGGGGTAAGGTACTGAGATTACTTAGGATTGGGAGGGAGTCAGGACAGGGGAGATGGTGATGCAGGGACAGAGAGGAGAGGCCTGGGCGGCCCCCTTACCTTCAGGGTCCATGCCGGCTCGGAGGTGCAGTGCTGGTGTGTCCACTGCTCAGATCCTGTGTTCGCAGGGGCCAGAGTGGGGGTGGGGCTGCCAGAGGAAGGAGGAAGGGGCCGGTCTAGCCAGCCCTTCTCTGGTTCTCTGGAGCTCCTTCCTGCCCTCTCCCAGGACCCCTGGGGGCTGGATGTACCTTCTCCTTTCGCTTTCTACACAGCACAGGAGGAACTCTGGCTTGTCTAACTCCAAGTCCTCTCTTCCCTGAACCAAAGACCCAGTTCCCTCCACACACCCAGGCTTTTGCAGTCTGTGAGGCTGCTGGTGTCAGCTGGAAGGCTCCTTTGATGGGTGCACTGGGAGGATCATGGGCCTTAGTCCTGGGTTCAGATCCTAATTCCATCCTTTCTGATCTTGAATACCTTTTTACCTTTTTCTGCACCTCAGTTTCCTTAGCTGTAAAATGGGATAATTCCTCCCTCATGTGTTCAACTGATAATCAAGTGAGAAAACTCTGTGAGTGACAGGGTAGAAAATCAACACTTCCTTTCCTTTAACTCCTCTTCCCAAGGTCCACCTTGCACCTGGAACCTTGCTTGCTTCAATCTCGTCCAGGCGGGCGCCTGGGTGGCTCAGTTGGTTGAGCGACTGCCTTCAGCTCAGGTCATGATCCTGGAGTCCCGGGATCGAGTCCCACATCGGGCTCCCTGCTCAGCGGGGAGTCTGCTTCTCCCTCTGACCCTCTTCCCTCTCATGCTCTCTATCTCTCATTCTCTCTCTCTCTCAAATAAATAAATAAATAATCTTTAAAAAAAAAAAAATCTCGTCCAGGCCCCCAAACTATTTTCTCCTAGATGCCATTTTTATCCCGGTTTCTCTCTTAAAGGCTCCTTTCTGTCTCTTCCAAGTCCTTCTTCCTACATCCAACCTCACATTTCGGTGTTCCCTCCGTGTGGTGGGACTGTTTCTCTTTTTCCTCCTTGGCACACAGCTAAACTACATTTCCCAGCCTCCTTTGCACTGAGGCCACCACGTGACTGAATTCTGTCCAATGGAATGTGAGCAAAAGTGATACCGCCACTTCCAGACCTGGGCCCTTGAAAGCCTTCCTTGTGATGTGGCCCTCTCTCCCCCCTGGGAATGGCAGAGCCACAAAATGGAAGGAGCCTGGGTCCCTGAATGACCTTATGGAAGGCCACATTCCAATACCAGCATTGGACTGTTACACTTCTCCTGAGTTATACCCCTGAGATTTGGGGGTTATTTGTTACAGCAGCTACCCTGCTCTGGTTAACTCCTGAGATTCTCTCCACAGCTGCCTTCTCATGCTGCACAGTGAATGACATAGTTTATCCAATGATGCCATTATTTATTTATGTATTTATTTGTGTATTTATGTATTTATGTATTTATTTATTTTAAAGATTTTATTTATCTATTTGACAGAGAGAATTATAGTGAGAGAGGGAACACAAGCAGGGGGAGTGGGTGAGGGAGAAGCAGGCTTCCAGCTAGGCAGGGAGCCCGATGCGGGGCTCGATTCCAGGACCCTGGGATCATGACCTGAGCTGAAGGCAGATGCTTAACCGACTGAGTCACCCAGGTGCCCAGTTTGATGCCATTATTTAAATTGCTATCTAAAATCAGATGACCCTCAAACCTCTCTCTAGCTCTGACTTCCCTCCCAAGTTCTAAAAATGAACTCATTATGTTCTCCCCCTAAACTGCTCATCTCTCTGCATTTCTACATAATGCCATCTGTATCTCCTCTACCTCCCAAGATAGAAATCTTGAAGCCTAACCTCATTCTTCCCTCCATCACCCAATAGCCAGTTAGGTCTAAAATCTGATTTTCTGAAAAAGTGTATTTCAAACCTGACCTTCTTTTTCCCCTTAAGTCAGGCCCCCACTATATCCAAATTGTACTAGAATAATGCTCTCACCTTGGGCTATATTACCTTCAGGCCATCCTCCTGGATCCTAAGTTCACTCAAAAGACATCCAAGGGGCACCTGGGTGGCTCAGTCATTTGAGCATCAGACACTTGATTTCAGCTCAGGTCGTGATCTCGGGGTTGTGGGATTGGGCCCTCCATCAGGCTCCATGCTGGGTGTGGAACTTGCTTGGGATTCTCTCTCCCTCTCCCTCTGCCCCTCCCCGCTTGAGTGTGTGTGCATTCTCTCTCCCTAAATAAATAAATGAATAAAATCTTAAAAAAAAAACCCACAGATCTAAGCTTGCCACAAGTTTAATTAAAGCCATCATTTGTTCATTCATTAATTCCTTTATCCCTCCATTCAGTAAACACATATTGGGTGGCTACTGAGTGCCAGGCCCTGGACTCTGAAACCACAAAGATGACCCATGGATTTGGAGGGGCTCCACTCTAATGAGTGAGGGACACCTTCACGTAATTACAGCCCAGTTGTGCTGTAATTATGTTACAGCCCACACGACGCCCTGTGGAAGAAATGCTGTGTCTATTGGGCTGGAACCTGCAAGAGCAGCTTCACAAAGGCCATGACATTTGAGCTGAATCTTGACGGTTGAGGAGTCTGGCAGGAAATCAAGATATGTGTGTCTGGGGCAAGCTGGGGGTGGGCTGGCTTCAGGCAGAGCACCTACAAATGTAAGACTGAGTAAGTGGCTCTCTTCGTGGCCAACCTCCTGGGATGGATCTGGCCCATAGTCTAGCTGGGCCGTCCAGATGCCACAGACTCGGCAAGCAGGTACTGAGCACCCGAGGAAACCGAGGCACACAGGCGCCCATTTGCAGCTCATTGTCTGGAGCAAATAGATTGTCTTCACAGTACCCTGGGCTTCTTCTGTCCAACGGTTCTACCCTGAACCTCCCCCAAAACAGGACAGCCACCCACCATGTAGGATCCTCAAGCAATACCTTCTTAGAGTTTGAAAGTTTTCTCTCTACTTTTGGCTGGGTCAGCTCTTGCCACTACTTTGGGAATCTTAGAACCTTCTGATTATATTCCTCTCTTATTTTGTTGACAGTTCCAGCTTCATCTGCCTCCAGGCATGGTTGCTGAGCTTCGGGGCTCAGAGATGGGGGTCTGTTTCCCATGACCTCAGCCCAAGGGCTTGGAGGACTCAGAACCGACAGGTGTTCCCCTCTGCTTGCAGCCCACCCTTCACAGGTTCTGCCTGCCAAACTGAACATGGTCCGGGGTCAGAAATAGGGATGCAGGGGACAACTACGTGTAAATATCCATTTTCAGAAATGAAATGTCCTTAGGATCGTGCGTGGAGGCTCTTTTTCTGTCTGCAAAAATGAATTGCATTAATAGATTTCTCAAGACCTTCTCTATCTAAATCCTTTTACCATCTGGAATTTTCCCATTTTGGATGGCAAAGCTTTATTTGTAAGCATAATCTTAATGTGTACTTTTTACTGTCTGGACAGAATAAATATTTTTAGCATTTTAAACTATACTCTCCCCCACCACACACACACATCAAGAAAATCATATGTCATATTCAGGGAGTTACCAGGAATTTGATGAGACTGGAGGGCATAGTGTTTGCACCGAGGACTGACCAGGAGGAGTCCAGATCCTAAACGGGTCTTATCATGCAGGCTAGGGCTCTATCTTGACTGCCGCAAGAGGTGCAGGGATAATCTGGACAAGGTAGCCTTTTAGAAGGGTCACTGGGCAGAGGATGGAAGTGATTGGGGTCAAGAAACCCAAAGAGAAGACCGGGCAGGACCCAGGCAAGATGTGTTAGGACCTGGGAGAAGGAATGGCTCCAAGGGACTATGGAAGAAGGGTCAGAGGAACTTGGCACCCAAGAAGAAAGGACAGGAAGGAGTGGGGGTTCATGATGGTTCTGAGAAGCCTTGGAAAAGTCTAGAACAGACTTAGGTTTGGTGAACTCCCCACTTCTTTCAGAACTGAATTCAAACTCCCTTGCCCTTCACAGTGGGGCTCCAACCTGCTCTTCCAGCCCCCTCTCCTTGAACCAGACACCCCATCCCCTCAGCAAACACCTTCTTATTAATGTGTTCTCTAACTGTAAAAGTGATAGGCATTTATTATATAAAACTTGGAAATACAGAAAAGTATAAACAAAATAAAAATCGTTCATAAACCTATCACCTGATAGATAACCACAGTAAACGTTTGGGATATTTCCTTCAAATCTTTCTTTTATTAATGTCTATGTTTTTGCATTTTCTTTCCTTTTTTTAATTAAAAAAAAATTTTAAGATTTTATTTATTTATTTGACAGAGGGAGATACAACGAGAAAGGGAACACAAGCAGGGGGAGCGGGAGAGGGAGAAGCAGCCTTCCCTCTGAGCAAGGAGCCTGATGTGGGGCTCGATCCCAGGACCCTGGGATAATGACCTGAGCTGAAGGCAGACGCTTCACGACTGAGCCACCCAGGCACCCTTTCCTTTTTTTTTTTTTTATTTATTTGTTTATTTGAGAGAGAGAGCTCGAACATACGAGGGTGGGGAGAGGTAGAGGGAGAGAGAGAACCTCAAGCAGATTCCTTGCTGACTGTGGAGCCCGACATAGGGTTTGATCCCATGACCCTGAAATCAGGACCTGAGCTGAAATCAAGAGTCGGTCCAACCGACTGAGCCACCCAGGCACCCCTATGTTTTTGCATTTTCATTACAAAATTAGATTCATACATATTTACAGATTAGTAAGTAACTTTTGTTCCCAGGTTAACATTATATTGTAGACATTTTTCAAAGTCATTGCAAAGGTTTTGAGAACACAGTTTTTAGCATCGTTCATTCACTCAAATGAATATTTACTGAGGACCCACCATTTGTTGGCACGATAGCCACCCAGAGCGCAGCGGGAAATCAGACTCTGAGCTAAGTCAGCCCTTGGGTGGAGCCTCCTACCCTTCCCCCAGGAGCAGTGCGTCACTCCCTTCTTTCAGTGCACTCATAAAATTTTGTCTGTACCTGTATTTGAACACTTTTCACATATTGTGTTATTTTCCGGGATGTGAGAGCCCTATTGGGTGCCATACCTATCCTGCCCCACTTCCTTCAGGATCCACCCAGGACCCAGAAACCAGTAATAGTTCAGAAAAGTGACTGCATGTGTCCATCGAAAGGGGGTAGAGCCGATGGCCTCTGAGTTTGTGACAGTATTTTCTTTTTTAAATTTCTTTGCTTCCTTTTTTTTTTTTAAAGATTTTATTTATTTATTTGAGAGAGAGAATGAGAGAGAGAGAGAGCACATGAGAGGGGATAGGGTCAGAGGGAGAAGCA